TTATTATAATTATTATTATTGTTGTTGTTGTTGTTTTATTATATTCTTTGTTTCAATGTAGATGAAGTATAAATAAAGCAAAATGTTCTTCGTTCTCTATCAGAGTAAAGGGAAACATGCTAATGTAACTCGCTTTGCTTTCCGTTAACATTTCCCTTTAAGGAAACAATTGAAGGCGATACTTTCAACGTGAATAAGTAATTATGTCAACAAGAGTTAGCAAACACTTATCTTGCCGAGGCGCGCCCTTATTCTCGGGACTTGACATTTGCGAGATACTCTCGGAACAAACAAAGACCGTGTGGGATAACAGGACCTAGACTTAAATTTCAAGCTATTTAAAAGGAAGCTAGATTAAATTATGTGGTATTATAATACCGTGTGTGCCATGACTACCTCCAGGCTGGATAGCAGCAAGAGCATAACAACGAGAGATTAGATGGATACAGGGGAAGAGGCAGACCAAGGAAAAGATGGGAAGAGGGGATCACAGACACATTTAATTTATATCGCCTCAGAACTAGTTTATCCAAAGTACCCTCTACAGTTACGTACACCTTGGACAAATAAATATGAGGCAGCGTGGTGGAATCAGGCTCTCGTCAATTTTTGGGCATGTAGAGTTATAGGTATCATCTTAAAGCTTGTTCACTTGTCTTTATTTGGATGAAAAAAAAATATCCATTTATCTGAATACAAGACGAGATATTTGCAAAAGAAGGAGGTGGGGGTCACCAGTTTTCAGAGGTAAAATTAGACAGAAAATGGCCGCCAAAGATTTGTTACTTCTTTAGCTTAAGAGTCCGTGGTAACTGAAAATTTACATTTTTTGTGCCTTTAATCAACGTTTTTCAGAAAAATCCACACTGAAATGAGTTCTTTAATGGGCATGAAAGATGTTGATCCAAAAAACAAAATGTTGATAAAAATTCACAAACCGGCAGAAAAATGCAAGTTTTTTAACTTTGATTATTTTGACGAGAGCCTGATTCCACCACGCTGCCTCACAAATAGTTCCGAGGCGACTATTATTCAAGAACAACACAACCATGCAACAGGCGATACAGCAAACAAAGACAAAGACGTTTGCGTCTCCCTTCGACACCGAAAGGTGACACTGACAGACGCCGGAAAAAAAGGGTAAAGATAAAAAGTTAAGTAATACTAGCGTCTATAGTGTCGTGCTCAGGCGCGTTGTCGTCCATCGCAGGCAGAAGATGACAGTTCGATTCCCGAGTGGTGAGCTTGATTTTAAATCGACTAGCTCTTGTCTCCACCTGCTGGAATAATGTATCCTATTCTTATAAGGCTGGCTTTTACAGGCAGGGGGCTAAAGTGGCCAAACTCCTACATGATCGAAATAGAGCCCACAGGGATCGTAAAACACTTACAAGACATCAATAAAACAAAGTGATTCTGGCAACAAAAAAGTCTGCTTTTTCTTTAGTTTGTAACTTACCTCGAGACAAATCAAGTTAGAAGCCCGTAATATCAACACTAACAAACTCAAACAATACAACAGTGAGACGATGATTTTTTGCAATAAAAGAGACTACTCTTTCGAAGTTGGAAACTTACTCCAAGACAAATTAACAAGGTCGTTATATTTACAAAGGAATTCGATATTTTCTAGGACATTGAGCATTTATTTTATCTCAATGGAAAGCGTAATCGCAATGGGAGATCGACTAAAAACAAATACAGAAGATTTACACGATATAGTCCCACTTTGGGAATGTAGGTTTCTTTAATTAAATGCAGAGCAATTTTTACTCCACTAAAAAACCGACTTGAAGTGAAAGTATTTTGCGGGAGAACGAGAAAAAAAACAAAACCACCCATAACTCGGAGTCGATCCTTGAACCTCTAGATCTATGTGTAGAATCGGTCTGTCTGTGAAATTCACCACACAGGCCGGCAAAGGAACAAACCCACATACAAACAAAACAACTCACAATATAACAAAACAACAGCAACAACGGCAACCCAAAGTAAACAAATATCAAAACTCTTTCCTCTCGCGAACAACAGTGACGTAGATTAAGTTACCCGTTAAAAAAAAAGGAGAATTCACTTTGCACTTAGCACTGGCAAACGTACTCAAAACACCCACACATTGTTGTTTCCGAAATCCATTTTCTGACCTCAGTTGAAGCGAGAAAACAGACATGAGTACCTCGTACTTTAAGTTGAAACCACCCAAGCATTTGATGGTGCTAAAAGTTCAGTCGCTTCGACCCTCTGCAAATTGTTTTGGCACATGTCTTACTTTTTTTTGTTGTTGCTTCGTTGTTCGTTGGGCGTTTCTTTTAATAATGCGTCTGTCTTTTTTTGATTTTTTTGTTTTCACTTTTGAGCTGAGGATTAGGAGGATCGAAATAGAGATGAGAGTGAGAAACAAAGAGAGACAAGGGAAACAAATGTATATATAAAGAGAGAGAGAGAGAGAGAGAGAGAGAGAGAGAGAGAGAGAGAGAGAGAGA